GAGCACAGCCCTGGCTCTGCCTGTTCCACAGAGCGCAGTGAAGTGGGGGCTATGGGATGGCTGCAGCTACCCTAAAATTCCCTATAGCCCCTGCCGCTGGCCCCTCCCCAATCTGGGTGCACAAGCCTGCCGCCATGCCCTGCTGCTGTTTCCCCAGCCAGGGTGTGAAGCCATGGCTTGTCCAGGATGTGCCGGCAGGTTGGGTGACCAGCAGGAGGGCATAGCCCCCACTCCCAGTGCCTTCCATCGCCCATCTGGAGCATAGCTCAGTCCAGCCCAGCCCGCACAGATCTGGGGGCACACGCCTGTTCCCATGCCCTCCTGGACTGGCGGTGTTCAGTGGCAGGAGCCCCCCCTCCCCAAGTCCCACGCTCCAGTCCTGGCTGGGCAGCTTGTCCCAGCCCCAATCCATCCATTGCGGTGGGGACATTGATCTACGCCCCCCACTTCCCTCCCCACTCTGCCCACCACAACAGACTTACCAGCTAGAGGCAGCTGTGTCCAGCGTGGTGAAGACTGCTGCCTGTTTAGTCTATGGTCGAATCTCCAAATCAGCACTGAATCTTCAGGTTCGGCTGAATCGAATCAGGACAGTGATTTGAATAGCCAAATTGAATTACTGTCCCTCTGAATCAGCAGAATCCCAAGTGAATACTTGCTGCTTTGTACGGGCCTACTTCTATTATCTCTGCTCTTTGGCCTTTTAATGAATAACCTTTCCCCTGCTTGCTCATACGTATGGATGTGTAGGGTGTGGTAGGCGATATCAGATGGACATCTGTAGCCATTTTTGATGCAATCAATGTGCTGACTACAGAGAAAGTACCTGTGCATGTTTTTGATCTTTCTTTTAATTGACTACTAATTTTTGTTTTGCAGGAGAAACTTGAGGTGGTGGGAGGACTTCACAAGTCCCTTTTAGTGCAACATGGGGCATGCGCTTGGGAAGGGGATAGAAATATTTTGAACTAAGGAAAAAGTGAAGCTCGTGGAATGGTACACAGGACCATCTATCCCCTCAAGCTGCACTAATTTTTGGACAGAGCATCACCTGCCAACATGACATGGAGCCATTTAAATGGAGAAGTCCCCATACCATATTTCCAGTGGAGCCATGCTACAGGAATAGGAGGAAGAGAGGTTATAGGTGGAATGGGACACAGGCTCTCATGCCAGTGACTCTGTTCCCCTGCTCTTTTTTTTGTCTTTGTTAGGATCCAGGCAAACATACTACTCTCCACCGGCAAACATTCCCCTCTCTGTTGCTTTTAATGCTAAAGGGAAATAATTTGTCACAATCCTACTGTGGCTGTTTTTTTTAAATTCCCCCAATTGATTTTTGGATGCAGACTCTTTGTTAATGTCCCTCTTAATTTTCATTTGTGGATTATAAATCATTGTGTTAACTACATTGCAATAATTATTCAGTCTTGAAAGTTTAAAAGTTTTGTAATATAGCTGAGTAGCTATAGGGTTTTGTTTTAATGTTCACATAATTTCAGTGTACTAAAATCAATTAGTTTTAAAAGTAGGCCTAAAAGTAAGGCTATAAATGAACACAACAAAAATACTTAAAACAATGCATGCTGATAAATAAGCTTTTCATACAGAGATTATTTTGTTGACTTCAATCAATACTGTTCCTTTTACTTGGGTATATTGTTAGCCTCCACATGATGACTAACACTAATTTGCATGCGGTATATATTTTTTTTCTTCAAGTTTTCTTCCATAATAAAAAACTACAGAAGAGTGCCTTTTGAGTCTTTCCTCAAACAAAAGAGCCTGGATTGAATCTACAGGTGAAAAATTGCCCCAGATTTAATAGATGTTTATTTCTTTACTAATAAGCAAAATTACCTGGTATTGGTTTTAATATTATAAGGACCTTTTTCCTGCTATGTTGAGACTGCTGTCCATACAGACCTTTTAGAATCGATAGACACTGGAGGCATACCTGTAACACCTACTAAGGAACCTTTTGCTCACTCAAATATTCCATTCATTCTAAAGGCACTAAGAGATGGTTAGACATGTTATTCCGAAGTTGGAAAGGAGGCAGGACAACTAATGAGTTGAGAAAAGCATAAGATTTTATAGGCAACAGCCTACTTCATCAGATGCTATATATCCCATATAGCTTTACCAAAAGAAAGTCTGATGTCCATTTTCTGGTAACTCCAATACTTGTTTCTTACCCATATTCATTCAGACTTCCTGAGCATCAAACTATTACTCATTTGGTTTTTAGTTTTTTATTCGCATTTATATCAACATCCTGTTATGGAAACATCATTGCTGTTCTTTTTCTTCTTTGATTTTTGCATTGGGAGAAAGGATAGTAGTTACGGTTCAGATAACCAGAAAGAAGTCTGAACTATCAATGAACCAGGAAAGCTTCTGTGGCTTTATCAGAACAAATCCTAGGGACATATCAGCAGCACATTTGCTTCAGTAGCCAAAGCTCATATACATGGCAGTTGTGAAGCAGGTTTGTTTCCATTTAATCTGAAATGAGAAGGAAGACTGAAGGTGGAAAATCACTGGGCAACAGGTGCACAGAGCCCTTTCACTGTCACTCAAGAGGCAGTTGATGCTAAAGAATGAGTTAAGCATTGGGTGAAGAAAAGAGCAATTTATTGCAACCAGCCAATGTCACACAGCACTAACCAACAAGAAATAAAGCTTCCTTTACAGTAGATGCTAGTTCTGTATATAATGAGGCTAGACATATATACGTGCACCTGTGTGCACACACACTTCCAAATTTGACTTCCTTTAGTGTTCCTTGTGTGAACTAGTTATTTCATGACCCATACAAAGAGAATTTCAGATGGAGTATAAATTTCAAATGGCTGTTAGCCATTCTAGTGTTTATACACGTGCCTTCTGCATAACAGATAAAATAGTAAATACAACATCCCAAGCATTGTAGCTTAAATTTATAGCATCAGGTTTGCAAGCAGTTTTCACATTATAAAGGGCTGTGGCTTTTAACAGCACAGAATTGAAAAAAAATTATACTTGTCATTGCATGTAAAAGTTCTGAACAGCATTTCACATTCACCAACCACATTTTGGATTGGACAAGTACATGGCTCATGCAATAACTATTTGTCTATGGGAGCTCATGTTGAATTTTCAAAGTTTGTATGTATGTCTCTCACATAGTCAAAAGTTGTATATCTGAAAGCACTGAGTTATTAAAATGTAAGACATACTAATCTTGTTTTCTTAGGAAGCACCTGAAATGCTGCCTTTCCCTATAAAATCTAAACTTTCTTATATAACTTATTACATGCCTACTCTTCTTGCATGAACATATGCAATTGTATTTCTAGACTTATCCCTGTAGAAGAACTCTCAAAATATTGTAGATTGTTTTCTCTTCCTCTCAAAGCTTATGTTTGTGCTTCATTTTTACTTCTATCAGATATCCGTTTACAAGGGCCTCATTATACTGAATTTCTGAATATTTTTATTTGCTGTGCAATCTAATTTGACAGGTACTCTCTGCATTGTGCTTGATTGCCTTCAATGCCTTCAAAATCCAGCTCATTCTAATTCATTTTTAAGAAGCTTTACTTTCTTTTATATTCTACAAAACCTTTTGTATTCTGATTTTTTTATAAACTCTTAACATCCTGTGGCTTCTTTGAGTGGCAGGTGAAGGGTGTTGAATAAAATTATTTCCTTCTCCTGGGGCTCTGTGCTACACAAGAAATAATATTTCAGCCAGGCTTTGGACTTGACCATGTGTCCACTGAAGTCAGTGGCAGGAATCGGGCTCTTCATTAGTTTCCCCTGCACCCTTATTCTAGAAATGAGTTTGAAGTGGCCAGTAAAGAAAAAAAAAAAACGTTAGCTCACCTTACCTAAAGCTTGTTTACTTAACTGTGTGTATCATTAGTTCAGCAAAGGCCAAACGTGACCTCAGTCAGCTAAAAGTTTGCGGATGAACTCTGGTGCAGGTGAGTGGGATAGTGCATTGAGGTTGCATTGTGGGTACTATGAACAGAATAGCTGTGCAAGGTAACTTCATCTCTTTTACTTGCTGTGGAGTGTTTTGCATTTTTCTTTTATTAAGTTACAGAGCCTTAATGTGAGTGGGCCCAAGATGAGTCTCAAGTTCTCAATTACATAGCTTCAGTAGTCCCCAGTATTTTTTAGGACTCATCGGGAAGAGCTATGACCATTACACTTCTCTCTACCATCTGCCATCACTTTCTGCCAGCTGGGTTATCAATATCCTTCTGTCCTGGCCTCTGGTTCTGTGGTTGAATTTAATTTTATCCCCTAGTGTCTCTATATTGAACTTTCAAAGAGTGCAAATATTCACACTTTCTGTAAGATGAAAGGGGCAAGGGAAAACGCTGTTTGCTGGAGACTCGTTAAGTCAAGTGGTACTGTTACAGAAAGATTGTTAGGACTATGGATGTAAACTCAAGTGTTTCAGATAACAGGTTACATAAGAAGCAGCATATTTTTCTCACATCCCACCCGCCTTGTTTTAGGAAAGCAGAATGACAGAAATTTTATTTTTTTCCCAGAGCCCTGGCTGAAAGGAGGCCATGTAGAACAGGGACACAGTCTTCATTTTCAGTATCATTCGTCCTTCTCTTCCAGCTCCAAAGCTTAAGCTTTAACCCCATCACAGCTGTTGCCGTATTAACAGCAGCTTTGGGCTATTCAGCAGAAGCTGTGACAGAGTTAAAGCTTCAGCTTTGGAGCTAGAAGTGGAGGATGAGTAGTGCCAAGAACTTGATTCTGCCTCCTGTACATGCTCAGGAAGGCAAAGCGGTCTTCTTATAGCCATTATTAGCACCTCCATGCCTCTGTTCCAGTGTGGAATCAGCTTCCCAATTTAAAACATGCATCCCAACTTTTGGCTGACTAATTTTTTGGAAAAGGTGCATGTGGTATGCAGCTAAAGATAGTATATGCATATTCACAAAGGTGATCAGAAAGAACAATGTAAGAACTAGCTCTCTCCATTCCAGGTTGCTGTCTAAAAGAAAGGATACTGAAGAAGATACAGCTCAACTGAAAACCTGTGTAAAGCAAATCGTGCAGTCTTCTGAAAGCAGCTGAAATGCAGCCCTCTGATAGGGTCATGAATCTAAGACAAGTTTTTGTGTCTGTACTGGTGTTTGGAGTTGCTGGTATACTCCTCTTCATGTACTTGCAGGCTTGGATTGAAGAACAGCATACAGGTAAAATTATTACTTTATAAATTGCATTGCCTATATTACTTTAATGCGTTGCATTAAAGAATGATTTTTGTAAGGGCATAAGATACTTTGTGTTGGATATTTTTGGAAGAGACAGTGGGGTTGAAATGTTAAAGATTTATTTTAATTGCTATACTGTAATATAAACATTGATAAATGTAAGTCACAAAAACAAAAAACAAATGCTCCAAGCTACCTAATTGTATCATGTCAGCGTTATTTACAAGTCTCAGATTTACCGTAATGTATTTTGTGCATGCAATGCCAACTAGAGTCTTAATATAATTCTATTTACAGTATGTTGTGTCTTGCTTTCTTTGGGGACAGGGCAAAAGAATCTTTCAGAAAAATTATTTTAATATACCATAAAGATGGACTTCTTCAAAGCAACAAATCTTATTGCAGAGTTAATTTTTTGGTGTCTTTTTTAGACAAATAGATGATGGATTTAACAAACTTTTACATTTTTATAACTCTAAGGGTATATTGAGACTTTATTTTGCACAAGTTTTTAATTCTTTTCTCATTATAATACAAAATCTCTCAATAATACTAAAACTGCATACTGAGACACACACTTCTTCTAAAAGCGTTAGAATCATAGAAGAGTAGGGCTGGAAGGAACCTCAGGAGGGCATCTAGTCTAGCCACCTGCTCAAAGTAGAATTCTCTCTGACTAAGTGATCCCAGTCTAGTGTCTGTCAAAACCATTCTTGAAAAATTCCAGGGATGGAGATTCCACAACCACTTTAGAAAGCCTGTTCCAATTCTTAATCATCCTCATAGGAAAAAAGTGCTTCTTAATCTTCAACTTAAATGTCCTCCTCTGCTTGAGGCTGTTGCTCCTAGTCCTGTTCCTGATAGTCAGAGAGAATAGTCTGTTTCCACCTTCAGATATTTGAAGACTGTTACCAAATCCCTCCCAGAGTCCTTTCTTCTCCAGAGTACATAATCCTCCTTCTTTCCTTTTGGTTCTGCAGTCTGGCTTTTGTTTTTTCTTAGGCTTCTATGATAAAATATAGTTGGTTCATTTTGTCCATACAGATTTCGGTATAGTTTGCTGGACACTGCATGCGTCTAGACACTCAATTAATGCAACACAATAAACTCGGGCACCGTTTGCATCAGAGTTTATTGTTCCAGGGTGCCATGTTTACATGTGTGCCTGGGACCACAGCACATTGAACCAGGGTGGCACAGCACTGGCTGGCAAGGAGCCCTGGGCAGTCAGCCTGCCAAGCCTGGGGCTGCTCCAGCTCAGCTCAGCGTGCTGCAGATGGGCTGGCTGGGGTACGAGGATGCTACAGTGAGGGCCTAGCCGGCAGGTAGCCCCCACACTGAAGCTCCCTCAAGCCCCAGCCAGCCCTATCATTGTCTACACATGCAATGTGATGTACATTACTCTGCCATAAGACAGTACTTGTGTCTGGCAGCACTATCCTATAGCAGAGTTAATCAGTTCACTCCGGCCTAATAGCACCACATATGTAGATGCAGATGCTTTACTGCAGAGCTAATTAGTCAATTCCACAGTAAACATCTCGCATAGATATACCCACTAAAAAGCAAACTAGATGTCAGTACAGAATAAGGCTAAATGGAACTGGGACTACGGTACCTGACCTGCTTCTCTCCTGTACAGTTTCAGGTTGAGTGTTTTATTATATGGTCATTCAGGGCTTGATGCTGACCTGGAAAAATTATAATGATCCTTTTGACTAAGCTGAGAATATTTGCATGATATGCTGTTCTGTGATGCTTACAGATTTTTCTTAAAATTAATATGAAGAGAAACACAACTGACTTACTATAGAAAGGTTCCCAAATAATTAAGTGGTTTATGCTTCTGTGATCAGATTGTTTTAGCCTGTCATCTGTTTAGGAGCTTGTAATAATGCAGGCCTGGATCAATTAGCCAGCCAGTAACAAGCTACCTGTCTAAGGGGGCCCCAGCTGGCTCAAGCAACTAACTAATAATGAAGGAAGTTGACTGGAAATAAAGAGACATGAAGAGGACCTGGAGGGAGAAAAAGTCTGTGTGGAGAGGGAAGACTCCTTCAAGGAAGAAGGAAGACTACAGTATGAGAACTAATCCATGCTTGTGGGTGTTCACCTTGGATTTTCTGTGAAGCTCTGTGGTGCTGATCAACCCAGGGCTTTGAAGCTTGCGTTGCTGGGCCCAGAGAAAGATTGGGTTGCTGGGACCAGGTTAAACGCATGTGTATTTTGGACTGCTTATGCTTTTGGCTGAGCCCTGTGACATGGAAGAACCTAGGGCACTACAGCCTGTGTTGCTCAGCCCAGAGAGAGACTGTGTTGCTGGGGCCAGAATAAAGGAGTGGGTTAAAGGGTTCAAGGACTGATTTGAGCCTGGCAGTGCTAAGCTAACCCGGACCCTGCTACAGAGCTATAGAACACAAAATAATATTTTACTGAAAGCAATGCTTCTATCGATAAGCCCCTCATGCATTATTACTAGAAACCAAAAAGATAGATCAGAAATGTGGATTGACCTGAATTTACTCAGGTTTTTTGTTCAGTGTTACGGTTTCACGTTCACTGCACCGTTCCTAGTCTTTAGGCTAACTTCTTTTTCCCTCTCCTTCCAGAGCTCCCATAGCAGTGCATTTATTCTTATTGTGTCTCCAGAAGAGGGAGCAGAAATTAGTGTGATGTATTTCCATATTAAACTGAAAAACAAATTCTCTGCACCTTGCACATCTTAATAGCATTCTTGGGTTATACTTTTTCTCAAATCTTTTGGATACTCTGAATAAGAATTATTCCTCCTCACTTTCTTCTGCCAGTGAGAATATTTGAGTATCAAAATACAGAACCTGTATAAAAATAACTCAGGTGTTAAGTATGATTAAATGTGATGCAGACTGAAGTGTCCCATTAACATCAGGAGTGCCACCATTGCATCAAATCAGTTGGGTCTAAAAGAGGTTTTGGCTTCCTCTGAATTAAATTTGAGTGATTTTTTCCCCCCCTTCTTTTTTTTGAAGAGGGGATTTTAGGTTTTCTTCCCCTATTTTAGTCTCTTTCCTCTGCCAATTTGGCATAGTCTACATTTTAAACACCTGTAACTCCTTTATTCCCCTCTTAGGGCCCTTTTCTAAATATATGCACTTAAATGTTGATATGAAGTATAACTGCAAGGAATATTTGCATACAATCATTGCACTTTGAAATTACTATTATAGATACTGATCTTTTCCTTCAGCTTGTGTGCATTTCCCCCCACCCGTCTGCTTCACCATGTGTTGCACACCTGTGGCTTTTTGGGAATGAAGTAGGTCATAGTTTTGGAAGGTCCCCAGTTGACAACTATCTTTACAAGGATTTTATGCGCTGCTTTAATCATGATAGTGGTAGCATGCAGCTGTAAGACAGTGAGGGTTTTAATTTGCAAATGGTTGAGAGTGTGATTTGATGTACTGTTAAGAAATGGGAAGCATGCCTTGTGCGTGCTTCTGAACTGTCAATCTTAACAGCCTTCAGGGACAGTTGTGTTTGCTATAGGCAGAACTGTTCTTAGCCTCTGAGGTGCCCTGCTCAAAATGTACAACTGGCATGTCTGCATTCAGCTCCTATGTGATTTAAAATTTGGCTGGGTTTGAGTTAAGGAAAATTTGTGTTTGCACCATTGAACTCCCATTATTCTAGTATTCGAAGTTTTGTAAACCAAATCTCGGGGGCAGCTACTGAACTTGGCATATGTACTCTAGTATAAAAGTTCCATTCTTGTTTCTCAACTTAAGTTACAAGTTAAGTAAAGAGTGTAATGTTAATTTAAAGTATCCAGTATTTTATCTGGTGCACATTATAGATCTCTTTCTCTTTCCCTCTCCACCACCCCCATTGGTAGCCCTTTATACCATTGAGTTTCAAGTGTGTTATGAATCATATATTTGCCTTTATTAACCTCTTTCTTTTGTCCTTGTCTTCCCCAAGCATAGCTTTTTCTCTCACTCTTTCATTTAATTTTTCACACTATCACTATCAGTACATCTTTGGGTATATCAAATCTAGAAATAGTTTAGCTGGTTTTAAATCCTATTCTTCCTTTTTCATCTATTTGATGAAGAAGTGAGAGAGGAACAGTGTGGGGGGGGAACCATGGTTATACCCTGTTCACATTTCTTTCACGATCCACTCTCTGGTGCTGTGAGATACAGGATAATGGGCAAGACGTACTTATGGTCTGATCTAGTAAATTGCAGTTCTTATGTGAGCTCAGTGGCTTCAGCCTTCAACTCAGACTTTGTTCTGAGTCCTTGGCTCCCCTTTTCCCCATCTCTGTGCAGCTTCAGTCTTCTCTGTGCCATTTCAGGTCACGTTCATGCTTTCTGTCACCTATGTATACCAGAAGAGGAAGATTTGAAGCTGCAGGGAACCTTGGAAGCAATGACCACCTATAGCTTTTCAGCCTCAGTCTGCAAACAGTATGTAAACACTTAGTAGGTTTGTTGGATTGGATTTGTAGCTGGAGAGTATGAAGACATGGGGTTGTGAGTGTTCTCAATGACTCCCCCTTACAGTAGAAAGAAGCAGATGTGGATGCTGAGACATCAGTGCTTGAAGGGTTCTCTACAATGCTTCATGCCTTGTGTGGGCAAGATTTTCATCAGTCAGGATGTTATACAAGTGTCCAAATGTGACCTCCCATTGTAGAGTTGGTATAACTGTTGTGTAAGTAAAGATGGCAGGATTTGGCCAATTCTTCTTTTCCCTGATAAGCTTTAGTGAACAAATGCTGTAAATTATTAGCCTTTTTTTGTGGCATTGTCATTCTTGCTTAGCAAGTGTTCATAGTCCTGAATGTGCTGTGGGCTCCAGAACAACTTATGGATCCTAGAGCAAAAAGATCCACCCAATACTTCCCTTCTCAGTGATTTTGTGAACCCATTGCTTCTCTTTGCACCTTCTGTCTTTTTCTCTTCTAGAGTACTAGGGTGGTAGACAGAGGCTGTATTCTT